TATTGATTAATCTATGGTCAAAGTATTTGAATGAGATAATCTATTATTTATTCTTCTAGGAAAGAATTCATACTAGTGATGAAATACAAAGTTTAAGACGTGAAAATCAAGTAAGAAAAATTTTGATATGTGTAATTTTATAATAATAATAATTTTTTGTCAATAGGCTATTAAAGAACGATATCGTGATGTTGATAATAAAATTCTTGAATTAAAAAGAAGAAATGACGAAGTAATTAAATTAAAATTTTTTTTTTTTTTATGAATTCATTTTCTTCTTTATCTAGTTAAAATCACAAATATCTGTTTATGAAATTCGAGTTCATGAGAATGTCGATACTGGTAAACAATATCAACATGAATTAGCTCAATTAAAACATGAAATTCAAGATATATTACGAGAACGTGAAGATCGTATTCGTGAAATTAACGTAAAATTATTCAAAGTTACTTATTTATTTAATTAATCTTATGCATTTATAGGAATGGAGACATAAATATGAAATAATAAAAGCTGATTTAAGCAATGTACAATATGAAAAAGAAAGAATTATATCAGAACGTCAAACTATTAATAATGAAAATACTGTATATGGAAATTATATTTTATAAAAAAGAAAAAGAATTTTTGAATTTTTTTAGAAACTTAAACATGATATTGATGACCTTACAATTCGAATTCGTGTACAAATTCAACAAGAAATCGAAGATGAAGTAAAAATACTATTCCATTTAATTATATATTTTATACAAAATGAATTTTTCTTCTTCTAGTATCGTCAATTAAACAATCGTAGAGAAACTGAAATTCTAGTAAATAGAACAATTTTTTTTGTTTCTAATTATTTTTCTTTTTATAGAATATTCGTAAAGATAAAGAAACTGTTCAATATGATCTTGAGCAATTGAGTAAAGAAAGAATACGTGTAAGTTCATTTTTCTCAAAAAATTTAATCAATAAATAAAATACAACATGCAAATTACAAAAATAAAATTTACTTCTTCCTATAGCTTTCAGATCGTTTGCAAGCAGTAGAATATAGTTTAAAACAAGCATATGAAAAAATTGAAGTTTGTATAATTAATATGTTTCGTAGAGTATAATCTTTTTGTTTTCTTTATCAGATCTATGCAATTGATATTGATCGTCTTAAGAAAGCTCTTAATATATCTCAAGTGAAAAATGAAGAAATTGAACGTGATCTATCGCGTGCATATACCGCGGAATTAAAAACGAAAACTAATCGTATACACGTATATTTAAAGAAAAAAAGAAACTTCACTTGTTATGTAATGTATTTCTTATAGGATTTAGAAAATAAATATCGATCAGTTGAACAACAATTAAATGAAGTATATATTGAATATATTGTTATTTGTTTTTTCTCTATTCTCTTAATATAGTTTGAAAAAATAATTCTTGATCTTCGTCAAGAAAATATTAAACTTGGTGAATATAATGAACGTCTTCAACGTGAGTATGATCAATATCGACTATCACAACAAAAGATTCCTGATTCTACACAAGTAAAACTATAAATTATTTATAGTAATAAATTTTTTTTTTCGTTCTTTTGTTTATAGCAAAATTTAACAGTATCTGAAGAACGTATTCGAAAAGAAATTATTCAAGCGACTCAAAACAAACAGGAGTTGGTAAGAAAAATGAAACATTAAAAGACATATAAATATAATGTCAATAGTAATTGTTCACTATAAAATTGAAAGAGTCAAACAAGTTCTTCAAATCTGTCATTCTTTTGTTTCTATATTCAATTGATTGGTTCGAATATAATAGAAGAAGAAAAGAAAATGTAAAAGACTTTTCGTTTTTTTTTTCTTTTGATTTCCATTATTGCTCTTTACTCATTTTCTCATCGAACACATCAACAATTACATTCTCATCTTACCTCAATTTATAATAAAACAAAAAACAATTTTTTAAAGACAAAATTTTAAGTTAAGGTAATTGATATTGTTTAATTTAATCTAAAGATAAATCATGTTATTTTAAATAAAAGAGAACTTAGCAAATCAAATTGATAATAATGAACTTAAATGTTTAAATCACTTTTTTTTTCTCGTTCTTGTCCTACATTTTAATTGAATTTATAAAACCATACGAGAATATATTTTCGTTTTGTTGAAATTGTTTTATTGTATCTTTAATGGACATAAGAAAGAAGAAAAAAAAAAGGTCTGCTTTGATTAATGAAAGATTCTATTGGTTGAGTAATAGTAAATGAAGGAATGTTCATAAATAATTTCTAGTTCTTTTAAATAAAGCCTTGAGATAATAGAAGACGAAGTACGATTGTATCGTGATTGATAATGAAGTTATTCGGAGAAAAAAGTTTAACATTATCTGATGAATTCAAATCGTTAAAAAGATATTTTCTATGAAAATAAAACAAAAAATTTCTATTTGATCAATGCAATTTATCTTTCAATTTAATGATTGTTGGCGATTTTAAAATAATTGCAAAATGAAAAGAGCCAACAATCACCTTCCAAAGAATGAAATGAAAGTATTTGTCTACTCTAAAAGGCACTACAAATGATATTTTCATCGATATCTAAACATTCTTGAAGGATATAACAAAATAGTTCTCTGTAACATCAATTAGAAAATTGAAGAGGATATCTGATAGAAATAACTTCTGAAATATTGTCAAGACTCATTACATCTAAGTTAATGCATAAAAAAATGGCGGGTGTCTGTAATGGGAGAGCTGCCAAAACTTCGATTAAAAACTTACATTCACTATTTTCTTCGAAAATATATGTGAGTTCCATAAAACGATATGTTGAGGAAAGGAACCATAAAAGGATCTACTCACCATCATTCTATCAAAATTTATTACCTTCAAGATTTTCTCTTGATGAATTCATCTAAATGAAACTGTTATTAGACAAAGAGAAACTTTTTAACATGTATTACTTTCCAAGTATTTTTCATAACATACTTATAATGAAATTAATAAATGCTTTTACATTGATTGACTTTATCACACATCGATAGTCTGAGTTTTTTAGTAAATTGTTTTTTTTTTAAGTGTGAACATGCTTCACACATACCTAATTGTGGTTTTTTTTTTGTAGAAGATGATATGTAGAGAATAAATATTTTAGAATGAATTTAATTATGAATATAAAGTGTGTTCATAATTTTATTGTTCATTTCAATCACTTGAACATAGGCTATCATATAGACAAAATCTGTTTTCTTTTGAAATTGAATATAAAAAAAATATTTCTACAAATATGAAGTCTTGAAACAATTCAATTGTTTCTTTCTATTCATGTATATATATATTTAGATCGATATACTTGAACGTAAACTTCTTGAAAAAGAGAATATAATCAAAGTAATTATAATTAATTAAATTATTTATTTTAATGAGTATTTAATTTTCTTCAAGGAACTTCAACATGCTCGTTGTTCATTTTCAACAAAAGATCTTCACTTAGACCTTGAAGTATTTTCTATAAAATATAAATGAAGCTTCTTATTTGTTTTTTTTCTAATTTTAGATTGAAATCGAACAATTAGAACCTCAAGACGCTGAAGCACAAGCACAGTTTTATAGAAACTATACTGAAACAACTCCAGGACGAGATCGACAAATTGAAAAATTCTCTGAGAATACTCAACAAATTCGTTCTGTAGTATTATTTATATTTTACGAAGAATAAACTCTATTCTTTATTTAAAAATTAGGATAATACTTCGACTATTGGAACATTACCTGAACAATATCAAATACGTGATCGACAAAGGGAACAAGAATTAACTGAAAAAAATTTAACTATTAAAGAATATGAACGTCGTATAGGTGAATTACAAACAACTGCTAGTAATCACGAACGTGAAATTCAAAATACAAATGTTAAATTACAACAAATTGAACAAACACTTAATGTAAAAAAAAAAAAAGAAAGAAAGTTTTAAGTAGTTTCAAAATTAATTTTCTTCTATTATTTTTCTAAGACTCAACAAAATGATTTTGATACTTGTCGACAAAAACGCGATATTTTAAATGTTGATTTAAATATTGCAATTGAAGAAAACGAAGTTCGTAAATAAAACAAAAAAAAAAAAAGAATTATTTGATTTCTTTGTCTCTAGGTATATTCAGAAAGAATTAAACACTTAGAAAAACAATTAGAAATGTCTCAAGTAAAAAATATTTTTATTAAAAAATTTAAAGATTTTAATTTTTATTATTTAGATTCGAAGTATCACACCTGAACAAGTTGCTCAATATCAAAATATAATTGATGATCTTAAAGCTAAACTTCGACATCAAGAAGATACTATACAAGTAAATATATTAATTAAATTAAAATTTGTAGTACTAAATTAGATAGAAATTAACATTAAATAAAAAAAAAACATATAATACTACGAGTGACATTTAGAAACGAAAGCAACGTATTGATTCACTTCAAGTAAGAAAGATATATTATTTATATGCAAAAAAAAAAAAAACAACAACGCCTTCACAGATATGCACACGCTTTGTCTCATGTCTTTTCGTAAACACTATCAACACTATATGTTATAATTATTGATCATTAAAAGAACAAAAAAAAAATACTGTGCGGTTTTTCACATTTGCTTCCTGGTATTGAAAAAAAGTAAAGAAAGGAAAAAAAAGAAGAAGAAGAAGAACAGGAGAAAATCAAAACTATTTTACCAATTTAAAGCAGAAGAACAAGAACAAAGAAATATCTAGTTTCCAGCAGCAACAGACATTAAATGTAAACACATTCATTCTCTTCATACACACAAGCACATCTACAATTCTATTAAATAAATAAAAAAAAAAATAAAAGACAAATTTTCTATATATTTTAGACTCTTCAACGTACTATATCTGATTCTGATAGCGCATTAAAAGAAACACGTCATACTCATCAGAGTATTCAAAGTGATTATAATCGAACACAACTTCGTTATGAAGTGAGTCAAATTTTTTCTTTTTAATTCTCTTAAATTTTTATTCATTTGATTCTTTTTTTTTGTAGCAAATGGAAAATCAATATAAAGCGGATTTAGGAAATCGTGATCAAACTATTGCTTCTTTACGTAAAAGAATAATTGATAAAGATCAAGAAATAGATGTAAATAATAAATAAAAAAAGTAAAAAAAAAAATATCTTTATTTATTTTTATCCATAGAAATTACGTCAAAGTGATATTGCTAAAGAAGCAGTTATTAGTCAATTACGTTCAAAATCTCGTGAATCTGATATAGATTCACGAAGTGAATATTCAGGAGCACGAGCTCCTACAAATGTTGCCTTAAGATTAGAACTTCAAAAGAAAGATGATGTAAAATTCAGAAATATTGCTTTTATTAATATTATTATTTTTTAACTTACTATTTTAGCAAATTGATGAACTTAAACGACAATTAGAACGAGCTCGTAGAGATATGTCTTTAAGTGGACGAGTATGTTTTATAAAATTTCGAATAATCCTAAATAAATTATTTAATTTAGGATGACTCGTCCACTATTCAACATGCAAAACGAGTAGATATTCCACGTAAGTTGTTTCTTTCTTTATGTTATTTTTTTAAGTAATAATCAAATAAAATTCGTTCATAAATTTACATATGAATAAAATATCTTAGTCTCATAGGAAGTCCTATAATATAAAATCAAACAATCTCCGATAGTTGAATAATCATTGATGATAAATTTTAGATTTTGAATATTCATGCACATTGTTTTAATAATCTCGAGTTTATGATCTTCTCTTGAATATAAAATTGATCGAAGCTTTATTTCTGACAAATGATTCGTAATTTTTTTTTCTCGATCTCTCAGCTTTAGGACAATGCAAATATAGCATATGGTCCATGAATAACTAGACGATAAAAAAAAGTTCCATACCTCTAGTCTCTTTTAATCAATCGGCCTGATTCTTATTCCTATGTAGAACTAATGTCTATTTCAAAAAAGAAGGTGGGTGGATATTTTTTGAACGGATTGACCTAGAGAGCTGCGATTTTTACCATTGGAAAGAGGAAATGAAGACGCGTCGAACCATATATGAAAAGATTTTTTCTAACTATTTTCCTAAGAGTTTTACATAAAGCTTCTAGAAAAAATGATCGCGATGTTATTTTATTGATTTGCAGGAGTTTACTAGAACCGCCAAATAAAGAGCTACAAAACTATGTAAAAACTCTATTCCTAACTATTACTTATAAGATATTCTAGCCATTGGAATGCAATTTACCACTCCATTTTTTCAACACAGTCATCGAAAAATGGAAATTTTTGTAGTGTTTTGACGAAAAATCGCTTTTTTTTTAACGTATGAGAAAAAAGCAATTTTTTGAAAACATTTGACTAAAACTCTTAGAAAAGTAGTCAGAAAAGTCTTTTTATATCTGGTTCGATGCGTCTATATCTCCTGTTTCCAATGGCTGAAACCACAGCTCTCTACATTTCCAATCACTAGTATATTACTCTTTTGGGATCAATAATGTTAGTTTAAAAAACAATATCCATTTACGTTTTTTTCTTATGAATAAAAGTTTTCTATCATTATGAAAACTATCAACTCGATTAATATTGATTTAATTCTAGATCGTCATCGTTCGACAAATTTTGATCATCTAAATCGTGAAGAACTTCTATATGAACTTGAAATGGCTCTACAAGACAATCAACAATTAGTTCAACAATTAGCAAGTAAGTTTGTTAAGTGCTTTTTTTTAAAATAGTAGAAAGAAAAACAAACAGCCAAATATCTATTTCTTGCGCTTAAAAAAATAAAAACTTTTCAACGTGAGTATATAATTAATAGCAAAAACACCTAATATAACCGAATTACACAATCAACTACTTGATGTACGCAAAGAACTAGCACGTCAAAAATATGTTAATCAAGTTTTATGGCGTAAACTTGATGCATTAATTGATATCCAAGGTTCAAATACTCGAGCCGAATTAGCCATTGAATTAGCCAATTATCATGATGAACTTGAAGCATTAAAAGCTAAACAACATCGTACCAATGATACACGTCTGGCTATGCTCAATGCTATTTCGAGATCCTCCTCAGGTGTTTGTCTAGTGAATTCGTTGTTGTATGCAAATCAATGCTTGTTTTTTTTTCCTCCAACATTCTCATAACACTTGACTTCTTTTGCTTATAACTTTTATTTTTTAATCTCACTTGTAATTTGATTGCACATTCTCTTTCCTTCTCTGTCTATGATAATTAGAATTGAATATTAGTATATTGAATAATGATATCTTATTATCAACTACTGAATTATCATCGAAAAATATTAAATCAACAATTGAACCATTACACCATTCAAATATTGAATGGCGAGAAAAATTCAGTCGTCTTAAAGAAAAATATTATCGTTGTGAATATCAATCAAGAAATTATTATCGAAAATTAATCAAATATTACAAATTATTATATGATGCTGGTTTGTAGTTATCATTTGTTTTTATTTCTAAATAATCTTCTGATGAGAGAAATCCCCAACTTGGTCGTAAATTGGAGGAGCTATAGATGTGGGGGATCGTATGCATCATGCAGACCTAAATGAGTTATAAATATTTTGAAAAGAGTTCATGCCCTTAGCTTATTGCTGCGTAGATACTGCAAATTTAAAATAGTTTTTAAATAAATACTGTAGTTCCCCTCAGCAGCAGCACGACTTTTCGATAAAACCTCGTTATATATTTTATTATCAAGCGAAAGAGATTAAGCCGATGGCAAGGCAAGGATTAAATCTTCTGAACTCTAGCTTGCTTTCGGTACAGTTAAAATGTATTATATGTTATCAATATATAAATCTAATAAATCTCGCTAATTCCCCTCAGAAGTTCATGGATACGAACCATTTTAAGCTTCTCTCAGTCTTCCCGAGACGTCCGATATAAGTCCAAACAGCCGATTACAGTTCGGATAGTTCCCTCGGTCGGTCTAAAATACTTTAGAATTGCTTCAATCTTAAGATTTAAATCGTAAAACTCTGACTATAATGTAAAATAAAATATCATTTAGGTCTAATTGATTCTTCTTCTATTCGACAACGTCGACATAGTGCCGAAGATTCTAATCGGAAATTTTCTACATTTATTAATATGATTAAATCAAATGAAGAAATGGATAATTCTTATAATATTAAAAATATAGAAGAACTTCAAGAAATAATTCATAATCAAAAGAAATATATTGAACAATTACAATTACGTGTTCGTCTAAATACACCAGATATAATTCAATCAACAACATTACAACAATTGACTGAACAAAATAAGGTAAACATTTTCAAATAAACTGTTAGTGCAATCCGTGAAGAATTAAAATGTGAGACACAATCGAGCCTTAATATGTGTCAGTATTGAATATACAGTTAGTGCGACAGAAGGGTAATGGACAAAACTATCTTAAATTCAATTGTATTTCATACTTCGATTTTGAAAGTATCAACACTAAACATTTGTCAAAATCCGTAATGAACGAAAGAGCATTTCTGAGATGTCTGTAAGGAGATCGAAACATCTACCCGTATACTCTAACACTCTGTTCACATCATATTTTATAACAAAGTTAATGAAAATTTTTTTCTTTCTCTAGAATTTAAATCTTGTTATTGAAACTTATAAAAATGAATCGAATATACTTAAAAACGAACTTGAAAAACTCAATAAAACTAATGAATATAATCGAATAACATTACAACAATATCAAAATCTTATTAAAAAACAACAAAATTACATTGAACAAATAAATAAACAATCAAATCAACATGAACAATTATCCAAGGTTTGTTAACTAATGAGACGTGTTCGGAATTCATGAAACCTACAAGAACTCCAAAAACTCAAGAATTTGTTAATGTTTACGTAGCAAATCAATCCTAGCGTTTCAAACGAAACTGACATCATCACACTTTGCTTAGCCACAAAATTTAAAATAACTGTAGTGTTGTCTTACACCTAAAAATTCGGAATACTAGAAACGACAAATATACAGTCAAGTCTTTTTCGTGGATATTCAAATATGGATATGACTGTAAGTGTAGAGAAGATCAAAACCTAAATTCACATTCATACCTATAGATATGCAGGACCACAGGAAAGAAAAGTTACTGAGACTAAAAGAGTTGTCGGCACCGGAACCAAAAAACTTTAATTCCACACCCTCACATTCATCCCTGATTAATCCGTTTAGAGACTTCCCTCATAAGATATTTGTCAAACTCTCTATATATGAATCATCAAAGATATACAAAAACTGCGATCGGAGGAATATGATATAAGTTCATATGCAGAAAAGCTAAGGTATACATAAGTGAAAACATATTAGATTTAAATATATATTGAATGCAAATTATTGATTTACATTGCATTTTAAATATATTTTTCTTTTAGAGACATGATCTTCATCCAGCTATATTAAATGAAAAACAAAATAGAAGTGATAATTTAATAATTGATTTAAATAAAAATATTTTATTAGAATATGATAAAATAAAAAGTATGTTAATATTATTTATCTTGATTTTTTTTTGTTTTTATTAAAAATATTTTTATTCAATAAATTTTTCTAGACAGACAGACAGAGAAGGATATGATTAATAATAATGTATTGTACTTACACATTGATTTTCATAATCACATTCTTTTGTCTTTTCCTCTTGTATACATAATTCACTTCTTTAATATACATTCACTAATTTAAATTATTGCTTTTATTGCTCTAAATATTTGCTAAGAAAAGTAAATAAGATAAAACATTACATGTGTATGTGTCCACAAGTTTTTTTTTTTAATCTTAACTATCACCTAAATATATAAAATAATTACATATTTAACTTTTTTAATTGAATATTTTTCTATTATTATTTATTTAGAAACATCATTGAATAAAAAAGATAGTGGTGTTGAAAGTGTTGTAGACAGGTTAAATATTTTCGAATATTAAATTAAAATTCGTCATTATCAATTTTATATTTTCTTTTTTTTTTATTTTAGTACTCGTTATACTTTAACACAACAAGAATATCAACGACAAATTACTGATAAAGATGATCGTATTAGACAATTAACAAAAGAACTTAATGAGTAAATTTCTTTTTTTCTTTGATTTATCTAATGAAAAGAAAGATCACTGAAATAGTGATCGACGAGTTTCTTTGTATGATACGTATCGCCTGAGAATAACACCGAAATTCAGCGAAGTACATACGGATCTTCATGATATGATAATATCGAATTTCATCCACATAGAGAATGTTACAATTCTAATATTTTCTTTCAGTAACAAACAAAGATTAAAATATCTAAGCTATTCAATAAACAGAACATATGTCAGAGATGTCTATGGCGGCGTTGCCGCTGCCACGGTGGACATCTCTGACATATGCGATTAAGTATCGAGAAGGAAACATTGTGGATTTTGGTACTCCATATATTTTAATTAGAAAACTCAATATCTAAATTTTAATGATCTTATTCATCGGAATAGTTCTTCGATATGTTATATTTGAAGTCACTATGAAATATATTTTATCTGAATCTATATAATATTATATAGAAATTAAGAATCTATCGATAATTTGTATTTTCATATGATTCAATTTAATTCCTAATTGTTATTTATTTGTATATTTTAGTTTGAAAAGAGTTCATGAAAATGAAATAAATCAATATCGTCTTAAATCAGAAAAAACTCATACAGATTTAATTGATGATTTAAATGTTAAACAAAATGATTTACGTCAAGCACGTTTACAAATTGATTTATTAAAATCTACAAAAACTCAACTTGAACAAGCTCAAGATCAAAATCAAAGGTTTATAATAATAATAATAATAAATTTTTATTTTGAATTATTAAATTTAATCTTATACTTTTTCAGATTACAAACTGAAATAAAACTTTTACAAACTGAAATTAATAATAAAAAAGGTTTAATTGATCATTATGAAAATCAAATTAATTTATTAGAAAAACAAGTTTCATATCGTGGTAAATTGTTTAATTTTTTTTTCTTTTTTAATCAATTAAATTTAGATGGTGGTAAAGGTGAAATGACTATTCGAACAAGTGAAATGTCAGAATTATTAGAAGAAATGCGTCGTCTTCGTCATGATCTTGAACGAAGTATTCATAAACAAAATGAATTACAAGCTAAATTAGATGAAAATATGCGTCTATCAAACACAGCACATGAATTTACATTTTCCGGTCGTGGTGTTTCACATCCTGATCTTCGTATAATGGGTACATCACGTTCAGTTGACGCTGAAAATATATCACTAACTAATGTGATTAATGAAAAACGTTCAAGACCTCTTGGATCATCAACAACAGAACTTGGTAATCAGAAAAATATTTTTGTTTTTTTTTTTTCTTTTAATTTGTTTTTAATTAAATATTTGATTATTTTTTTTTTAGAAACTGAAAAAATACGTATGTTCTTTGTTTTTTTATTATCTAATAACGAAAAATTTTGCTTTTTGTTTAAGATTTTGGAAAGAAATATATTGTTGGTGAATTAGATAATCATGAAAATCTTCGACGATTAATAGCTGATATTAAAATTGAATTAAAAGCAATTGAAGTTAAAATTAAAGAAAGACTTCGATCAAGATCTGTATGTTTAAATATAAAAATTTATATGAATCATTTTTCTATTTAATTCATAATAGTTTTAAAATGTAAAACATTTATTAGAAAATTTGTAGAGATGTTCCGAGATCACCAGAATTGTTGGAAGAGTCAATGACCCACCTTAGATTTTGAATAGATCCTATCAATATGTCAGACTCAAACAAAAATGTGTCCTTCTCTGAATAAAATCCTTCAAAGAACAAAAGTTTAAAAATTCTTTAGATGTTTTTTACCAAATCGGAATTAGAAAAATAGATGCATCATTGAATGAAGAAAGGTCTAATATTATCGTTAAACTTATAGTCACTTTCTGTTTTGATTGGGATGATTTAGAAAATGATTCACTCGTAAGCATTGCATATTAAACTATAATTCATAGCTCCAGTTTGAATAAAGTTTTTTATTCTCATATCATACGAAGGAATTTCTCCAATTGTCAAATCACTTTTTAATTGAGACAATGTTCTATCTGAAGAGTATTAGTGGATAATAGAACAATCAAGAATGGGTTTGTATTGTGAGCATTCGTTCTCGAGATACCGAAATTTTACTGAGTTTTTTCAACGAAAAGCTGTGCCCCTCCCCCTCCTAATTGACTTCGAACTTTGCACGAACAAAATTCTTAATGAGATTTGTTTATTAGACAAGTTGTATTTCTTTACTGGAGATGTAAATACAGTACTCGCCATAAGTGGGCACGATCGAGAAAGGCAAAGGAGTTATTTTATTATATCTTATTTAGAAAATCTACATTCTATGTACATCATCCTAATAATTAATATAATCGCCTTTTCTTTCAATTAATAATTGTACTCTTTTTCTATGGAATCGACTAATTGTTTAACAAATTCGATAGATAAATTTTTCCATTCTTTTTTTATTCTTACAAATAAACTATTGATTGATGTAGGTGGTTGTGTGTTTATTTTGAGCTTCATTAAAGTTCAAACATTTTCGATTGGATTACAGTCTGGAGATTGTGATAGTCAAGGTAATGATTGTATGCCATTATTGACCTTGAACATTTTACTCATCTTTGAGATATACTTCGGATCATTATCTTCTAAAAGTTTCCAATTATAGTTAGCATCATCACACTATTTTTTTACTGATGACAGGAGTCTGTTCTTGTAAATTTTGCACATAAACTTTGAATTTAATGTTTGTCTAAATAATACTAGTTTTCTAAATCTATGTTTGCTAAAACAGCCCCAAACGTGAATTTTGACAGAATGCTTCACTCGTGAGACATAATATTTTTCGCCACATTTTTTTCATACACGTCTTATCACTTGTTTCATATGAAATGAACTCTCATCTGTAAATACAACTTGATTCTAGTCAACATCTTAGTGTTGTATAGCCTACTGAAATATTTTCTTAATATGGTCACGTGTTAGCAATGGTTTGAAAGTTAGTTTCATTAGTTGTACACCAGCCTCTTTAAATCTTCTTCTTAATGTCGTTTCACTAATTTTTAAACTTTTCTTTGATAATCTAAATGTAATTTGACCTACAGATTTGGTTGAATGTTGAGCTACCATTGATTGAATTATAACATCTTATTTTTCCGTTAGTAGACCGTTTACAACTAGATTTTTGTACAACTTCTACATGATCAGTTGTTTCATATCTTTCAAGCCGATTTCGCACAGTCGACTCATTGGTTCGTAAATATTGTGAAATATCAGAATTTGACATGTGTGAGCCATACTCATGCTTTGATTAAAAGACGATTTTCCATCTTTTCTTTAAAGAAATATTCATTTTTTGATTAATTTATAAATTGCTAACAAAGTGAATATAAATGCTCCTATTTATATCATATGATAAGTACAACTAGTAAGTGCAAACAAAGTAAAAAAATTAAATAAAGTTCATTGTTGAACAACAAAAAGAGGTCACAGCCACTTATGGTGATTACTGTCGACTGAATTTTTTATAAACACATTCTTTATATAGGAGAATATTTATTTATAATTCATAAAACTATTTGAATGAGATGAATTTTTTTTCTTTCTAATTAGACTTCATCAACAAGTGAACCATCAATAGAATGGCTTGAACATCGTTTAAATTCTCTTAATCAATGTCTTATACGTTTAGAACAAACTTATCGATTAATTGAATCATATTGGCCAGCATATTTACCAATTAAGAATAGTTATGATGAACATCAATTTAATGATCCACATCTTGCCGATGAAGTAAATTTTTTTGTCTTTTAAATGTTTAAACGAAAAAAAATTTATCGATTTTTTTTTTTGATTTTTTTAGAATAAAGAACTTCGAATATCTCAATCAAAATATATTCAAGAATTACAAAATTTAAAACAAAAATATAAAGAACAATCTGTTTATATGGATCAAGTACTTTCTCAATTAACAGTAAGTTTTTTTCTTAAATTTTAAATTTTTTTTTTGTTTTTCTTCATATTTTTTTAATTTCCTATATATAAATATATGAGGAGAGAAAAAAATAAATTCGTATCGTTTGTCTTATTTAATCTAAACTTTTTGCAGAAAGCAAATCACAAAAAAGCTAATACAGACGATTATTTGGCATTGCTACGTAAGTCTGTTTTACTTGTATGCACATAACCAATCGACGAATATATATATATAGAAATATTCCCTTCCCTTGCACTTGTCAAAATAGATTTCACTAATAGATAACTGAATATTTAATGCATGTGCCAATTTAGTTTTTATTTCGCATGGCTGATTTGTTTTTATTATTTGCTTCATTGTATTATTATGTTTTTTTTTTTCTGTGCGTGTCATCTCTAATGCTAATATTTATGTCTTTTGAATTTATTAACAGTTTATAATAACATTCACGATTTTCAAAAATAGTATTTTAAATGCATGTTATTTTCACAATATTCAATAATATTCTATTAGTATTAAAATGAAAAATAGTTTAAGTTAAAATAATTTTTTGTTTTTCTAATATTTAAAAAAAAAAAAAAAAGAACAACATGAATGATAAACAAAAAGGTCAATAGGTGAAAATTTTGTTCGAAGATTATACATTCTACATTAAACGGAAATTAACAACAAGATAATTTCCTTGTTATTGATTATTGTGTATAATCTTTTGATTCATAATAATGACTTTAAACTATACAAAAAAACACAAAAATAGAAAAGAATTATTCTTGTATGTTAATTTCAGTGATGTTAAAAAACGTTCAATATAATAATAATTTGTTAATAAAGTACATTTTTTTTTTATTTTTGTTTTTCTATTTTAGTACGGCCGACGTTAGATGTTTTACAAAAAGCTCGTTCAAATATAGAACATCATTTAAAAGAATCTAACAATATAAATAATTTATCACCGAGTAGTATTCAATCACATCATCATCGTACCGATCGTTTAGATTAAATCCTTCAATATCAATTCATATTTTTCTTTGCTTAATCTTAGCTTTCTTTTTGTTTTTGAAAAAAATGTATCTTTCTTGTTTGTAAGTGCGTATGTCCATGTCTCAGGTTTTTTGCTTTATTTCTTTTGCTTTATTGCTCTCTCCTTATTATTTTTTTTCATTGTCAAACCAAAATCTTTTTTTTTTTTTTTTGATAAAAATACAATTATCATTGATTATATTAGATATCAGTCAAAAACAAAAAATGTTTTTTTTCTTTTGTTGCTAATAATCATGAGTTTGATTATCCATATCTTCATCTGTTGTACTACTCACGTTTGTAAGATTATGATCATTATCCGATGATGTATTATGATATAAAATTGATTGAAGTGCAGCTATATAACTTTGAGCCATTTGTAATGTTTCATATTTTGAAAAACGTCGTTGTTGTTGAAACATTGATGATGGTAAAACTGTACGTAAACGATCAAATGCTGAATTAAGACCATTCATACGACGACGTTCACGTGCATTAGCTGCAACACGACGTGTTTTTTCAATTTGAACTATTGATGATGAATTTCGTTTAACAACAAATGTTGTTGTTGATGATGATGATGATGATTTTTTTTTATTGATCATTGCTGTTGTTTGTTGTGTTTGTACTTTCATTTTTTCCATCTTAAGAAATATGTTTTGACAAAAAAAATTTAAAATGACTTGAAATTATTGCCATCAGTTGATTGTGTTGTATGTTATAAAAGACATTTGCAACAGTTGGAAAGCGAGTAAGTTAAAACAACAGGAGACTCGTGCATTGAACTAATTAATATGTCAATTTCATCGAGCACGATATAGTCATCAATAGAAAATTTTTTCTTAAAGAATAAAGAACAAAAAAAAAAAAAAAGAAGAAAACGACGAAAGGTAAAATTATCAGACAATTGTTCATATTCATGTTTCATTCAAATATTCAATATTGCACAGTTGGAAACTGTCAACATGTAAAGAGAGGAGGAGTGCTTTTGATTGATTGATTGATTGACTGCACAGCAGGATATATTTATCGTGTGTGAATATCAGCCGGACAAAAAAAAAATATTCATGTTATACTCTTTTTCAATTGTAAGACAAGAAGTTTTTTTTTTTTGAAGGGTAGAATTAATTAATGGATTATCGAAAATTAATTTGACATAATGTTCGCTCATTTTGCAGACTGCAGAAATTTAAAAATATTGAGTTAGTATTAGAATTATGTATTCTTTTCAAATATGACTTCCGATTTGAAAGTAATAAATCGATTGTTTAGAGGTACGAAAATTAAGTTTGAATGGAGAATATTGATGATTTTTACAGCAAGAATATCAACGTTATATTACTGATTTTATTGCATAAAATTAAAGGTCAGATTGTTCTCTACAAAGTGACATAATAATCAATAGTTTCACAACAATCATTCAGGAGTGGTTGACGAGTGAACCTCTTCGGATGTCAAATTGCTTTTCGACGGGGATGATATTTATTTGATAAATGCTAGAAAGTAATAGAAAAATCTGGAATGATTTAATCTTCTGGAACCTTCATTCTTGACGCCTTGAAATTTACCTGGATTTTCAACAAAAAGCTGTGGTAGTCCTAATTGACTTTCTAGTTCCAACGTTGCACAAATAAATAGTTCATTGAGTAAGTTGTAACTTTTCTAATATCTTCTAGTTTGAGATATTCGAAAGTTTCTAATGTGTAAAAGCAAATTTTTTTTTTGTATATATTTACATCTCTAGAAAAGAAATAAAAGTTGTACAATCAACTAATCTCATTAAGAATTTTATTCTTGCTAAGTTTGAAATCGAAATCCAAAAGTTGATTAAGAGCAGCGTAATTATTTGTTGAAAAATTCAGCAAAAATTTCGATATCTCAAGAACGAAAGCTCGGAGAATCAAATCATTCTAGGCTTTTCTATTACTCATCAAATAAACATCATCTTAGTCGAAAAGCGATTGAACTGTTAGAAGACTTCCCTCATGAACTTACTTTGAAAATTTGCCTAAATTGACACGATGTATCTTACCAAAATACTCACTGTGAACAAATGACTTAAAGCAAACAAATCCTTACTATACCAGTTTTACAGAGAAATATTTGCTCTTTCATTATAATTTTTGCTTCTACTTTAGGTAAGTTTTAGCACATTGAAGTTTATCCAAATTCAATTTAAATCAGAAGTTCTACAAAAATTTCAATATTATAGGAAATTTTGATATTAAACAAGTTTATTAAAATACATTTTAATCTTTTCCTAACATGGATATTTGTTGTTTTTTTTTTTATTATTATAACAATAATTTTAAGACATAGTCATGTTATGTTTTATAAACACAAAAGAAAGGAAATCTTCTCGACATAGAAAAACAAAAAAAGCAATGTTATGATTTTATATTATGTTTTTATCGTAGAATTAATCTAAGAAAACGGAAAAGAAACATAAAAAAAGTATCAAAGTGATGTATGAGTTTTTTTCTTTTTTTGTGAATAATTTCTCAATCCTATGATTGTATTTAAAGAATATTCTCAAGAGGGAGAAAGAAATAATCATCTTATTTCAAGATAAATCGTTGAAAAGATCTATTTCAGGAATGACAACAATTTCGTCATTTTTATTTGTACTCGAATACAATCATTTTGACAAAAAAACAATATAAAAAAATAAAAACTGATATTAATCAGATAAGACAACTATCTCATGTATGACTAATTGAAAATTCAAGTGTTAACATATTCAATAGATCATCCACGTTTTTTTTTCCTGCATCTCAAAATACTTGTTCGTTTAGCAACTATACCTCGCAGACTTATTCTGATCTTTTTTTGCCTGTTTAAGAACGAATAATGAGTGCTTTCTTATATTTCTTTTTGTACGCATTTTCCTATTCAACAACCAATCATGTCTATACTATTCATTCGTAGTTATATTGATTCACATTCATTTTTCTAACAAAACGAATGTATTCATACGGTCTGTCAAGCATCCGGTGAAGCAGAAAAGTCGATATGTAAGTGTTCCGGCTGTGAATACATACTTCAATGTTGAATCACTTGAATAGTTCTTATCATTTTACAGCATGAATTTTCTTTTTTATTAATATTTGACATTTTTCTTTTTTTTCTTTTTATTAAGAAAAATGAAGTTAATTAAATAAAATAAAGTAGAAAATATTTTGAATAGAGTTATTGTTGTTTAACATCTGTTTTGTTTTTGTAAAAAAAATTTCATACTGTCAAATATTTTATTCATAATAGTATCAATAAAAGTTGTGTCTCTGGACTTTGTTAACAAAGAAAACAGATAATAATCAGTACAATAAGAAAATAGCATGCATACTATAGACTATTACTATTGTCATAAAACGTTTTTTTGTTTTTTACAATAACAAAAATGGATATGGTTGTATTACGGTAATTAGACTTTTACATCGAACTTCAATTGTTTTGTTTTCTTCTTGTTTATCGAACTACAACAAGTCTATTTTTATTTCTTATCATAAACTACTGTGCATCGACTAATTGCATACCTTTAGGGCGCATCCAATAGAAAAAAACAGAAATGATCAATAGAAATGAAATGTTATGTGTCACTATTAGCGTTCGTCCTTTTGTATCACGCTACAGTTCGTTCCATTTCTTTTAAAAAATGTATATATGTGTGTGTATGTATACATTTACACTGGATCTTTTATTATCTATTTAAAATGATGAAAAACATGTACGTATATAGCGACTAAGAAAAGAAAAGAGACAAAAGAAAGAGAATAGAGACAAGATATATGGATAACAAAGGACAATACTAGATATATCACTGAGAAAGAAATAAAAAAGAAAATAAAAAAAGAAAATAGATGGCAAGTTGTATCAATGCGACATTACTGTAACAGTCACGTATGAGACAGAATTCAATATGAACTTTTATCTTAATTGTTAGTTTAAATAGGATTTAATACGTCTTTTTTTTAATTTAATTATAAAGATGTTATCACATTAATGCAATGTAAATGAATTATAAGTTCTTTAGTAGCTTACATTAATAAATCTTTCTCTTGAAAATATGGCTATATATATAATAAAGTATGAACATAAACATAGAAGTATAATCATTATTGTGTAATATTAATGAAAGAGTTTCAAGCTTGATTTTTATGATTATTACTTTTTTTGTTTGTATGTCATCAAATTCTTATAAACCGATCATAGAGTGCAAAAAGTCTTGGAACCCGACTTGTTAACCTTCTATCTATTTATATTGTCGCTTGTCCTTTATTATTCATAGTTAGTCTTTTTATTATTCTACATATCATACACATTCATAGAGAGAGAGAGAGAGAAAGAGATACAGAGAAAGAAAAATAAGAGAACGAACAATAAAGTTTCATGGGTAATTAGGATTGTTTTATTAGTCGCTATACGACACGAAAAATATTATATGCAATAAAATAGCGTATTCGAGTCGTATCTAAGTTAGATTAAATCGATTAATCGGTCATTGGAAAAACAAAGGAGATCAATGAATAAATAAGAACAATAACAGGTAAGCTATTTAAATTAATATTTCACTGAACCGTATATATAAGGTCTGAGTTTTGATGAATATAATAGTAAATTATGTTCGTTTAATTATTTTCTACTTCCTTTGTTTATAAAATTCGTTCTTTTTTTCTAATCGATACAAACCAAAAAGAAAAACGACGCAAATAAACTACTCAATGACATAAACACAAAACAGAACTCGAGATCAGTTTATTGTATTCATTTCAGTCATAAGAAGGAAAACATGTCATCTTTTAATTGACAAATTCAACACATGATAACATAAGATTTATTATTGATAAGATCAATAGTAACATGTTTACTAGTCTATTTAATTCAGGTAACAATGTCTTTTTTATGCCTATGTCAAAAAATTCTATTCATTTTGAAAAATTTTTCTCACTTAGATAGTTGTGTTTCATAAGAAAGAAAAGTTTTTTTTTATTTCAATTGTAATACATAGAAATTTGATAAGTATTAATAATATAGAAAGAATTCCTATCTTCTATGATGATTAGCTTGATATATCAAATAGAAATGAAGAATTTTCCTTTTTCGATGAAGTCAATTTTTTATTATTATTTTGAATTGAATTTATTTCGATAGAAATTATTCGATTTTCTCATAGATTAAAATAAAATGTAAACTTGACATAAGATTGATAAATGAATTTCTTGATTTTTAAAAATCAAACTGTCACTTTTATAGATGATGGAAATTGTTAAATTTTCCTTCTAGAATAATTCATTATTAATGAGTAAGATAATATGAAAAGATCGGTTAAGATGACAAGGCCATGACTTTTATTTGTAAGTTGAAGAGAAATATTCCTTTTTCTTCTAGTTCGCTTGATACGTTCAATATATTAAACAGCTCTGTATTTCCATTGACATCTGTTTCTTCGCCTGTTACATTACTCTCCTCTTCGTCATCACTTACTTCTCGTGCTGTTAATATAAATATGGCATTGTCATATAAACTCCAACTTGCTTATTATATTATTATTGCATTAACTGGTCTTATTGGTAATACAACAACAATTATTGTTTTTTCACAACGACGTTTACGTTCATTACGTTCATCATTTTTTCTTACTTGTCTAGCTGCTACAGATCTTGTATTTATATTTATACTTATAATTGCTTTACTTGATGAATTACAAGCACCAGTTATGACTGTACCTGTTTGTTTATTAACAATTTATTTTAGTCATATAGCATCATTTTTATCATCAAATTTCACATTAGCTTATACAACACATCGTCTTATAGCTGTTCTATTTCCAATAAAAGTAACAACTTTTTTAAAACAACGTACAAATCGTATATTAGCAATAACATTATTAATATTTGCTTGTGTATTTTATTCCATATCATTTTCTGTAACAACAACAAAACTTCGTACAAATACAACAAATATTGTTCATTGTGAAGAAGATCCTGATAAACCATTATTATTTCCATTTCTTGTTTTAGACACATTATTTACATTTATTATACCATTTTCATCTATATCAATTATGAATTTAACTATTGTATATAAACTTCAAACAAAATTAACATATAAATATAAATTATCAACAGCAAGTTCAACAGCACCAATGATTAGTCCATCAATAAAATCATCAACTAATTCATCAGGTCAATCAATGACTGACAATATTCAAATATCTCAATTAAATAATGGCAATAATAATAATATTCCTAGTGAATCTCATCATCTTTTACGACAACAAAATCGATCATTTTTATGTGTTCGACCAACTCAACGATATAAACGAATAAATAATAATAATCGTTCATCACCTTATTTACCAACACAACAACATACACCATTATATCAACAAAATGCATCAATGCATATACGTTCAACACGATGTCGAGGAACAGCATCAGCTAAAACAACTAAAATGCTTTTAGCTGCTTCGACAGTATTTCTTGTCTTTAATTTACCTTATCATTTACTATTATTTTGTTTTTTATTTATTAAAAAACAACCACCATGGATGCTTGATGCAGTTAATATAGCTCGTCTTTGGTTTTTTGCATCATTTTGTGTTAATTTTTTTGTTTATGCTATATGTGGTCAACGATTTCGAAATGAAGTTGTTCGTTTATTTTGTTGTTCATTTATTCGACATTGTTTTGGAAGACATAATCAAAAGAGATTACAAGAACGTCAAAATAGTATTTATATGAGTCATCGGTTATTACCTATATCATGGTCACGATTATCTCATTCGAATTAAATCTTATCAAATATATTATTCATTATTTGACAGAAATATGTATATTTTTTTTTTTTTTTTTTTCTTGTATATATTTCAATGATTATACTATAGTACAGACAAAAAAAAAAGAAAAAAACACATGTCAGACATATCAATGATTAGAATATATGATATATTACAATGAGATAATTAATGAAAACAAATTTTTGGCTTGCTTTGTATATGTGAAAGGTCAAGAAGATAATGATGGTCTTGTTCTTGTTTGTCTTTTTCTTTATTGGTATTATTGATGATAATGATAGAAATATGTTTTTGTATTTCTTTTCTACAAATGTATAGAAATTGTTTTTTTTTAATAACTAAAAAAAATATGTGACATTGCCATTGGCTTTATGGAATTATATAATTGTTACAGACAAATTGAATACTCTAGTTAGTTCATTTATTTCCAAATATAAAAAAATTTGAATTTAAAAAAGCTACAATATAAACTTTTTTTTTTTTTTTTGAAAATTTGAATTATCCTTGGTTGGATATGATGTTCACAGTAATTTTTTTTTTGTTGAAAAGAAAAACAAATAGGTAATGAACCTTCATTAATCATCAGTTATTTGTAGTCAAAACAAAATGGATTCATTAGTCTAATATGCTTTGTAAATGACATAATATAAATGAGAATTTAAATGAATATATCAAATGTTACCATATTAGACAATTATTATATAGTAGAAGATATGATTATCAGTTTAAATTTCATTTACTAATATGTATTATATACAGATTAGTGATTTTAATTTTTCATAGAAATTCTTGCAAATACGCCATTGATAGTCCCACGAAATGTCTTCAAGTACAAATATGTAATATTGGGAATTATATGTATACTCAATGTCATGATGTTTGCATTGGTATGATTATATTTATAGTATTAGAGAAAAAAACAACTTCTTTTGTCTGAAGCCTACTCATAAGATATCTTTTGTCCTTTTATCATAGTTATATAAATGAATGATAATGTTTTATGATTGTAAATAGCTGTCAAATTCTAAACGACAAACGATTGATCATCAATTATTTGTTCGCCATACAGAAACTAGTCTTTGTTTTATATTATCTTACATTATATCTGTCAAATTTAGCCTAGTCTTGATAAAAAAAAAAAAAAAAACTAAATACATAATTTTTTGTTTGATTAATCAACTGTCTATATAATGTAAAATATATTTTTATTAAAAAGAATTTTGTTTTTTTAATAGTGATTAAATACTTGAAAATAATTCTAAATATTTATGTAAAATTAAAACTAAATTTCAAGATTGTATTGACATTAAACAAATGTAAAAGCGTAAAATAATAGAACAATATGATTTCTAACAAAATCATTTTTATGAAAGACTAACAAGATCCTTCAAGAATATTGATTTTATCTAATCAAAAATAGTTATTTTCTTACTTTAGATAACTATATTAAATGATTCTGATAATAAAGTTTTATAATGATTGATCAATTAAATGTATCACATATCTATAAGAGTATCCCATGATAACTGATGATAAATTGTCAATGACGTTTTTTCTTAATGCAGCAGACTCAAATCTAACCTCCCCGGATACCGATAATTCTTGCGTTCTATCTTCGTGAATCAGCTGTATACATATATGTTTTATTGTATATGAAATTTGAATTGATACAACTGTATTAATGAATATTTCGTTTCACAACTGTTTATCGATTTGTATTTTATTTTTTCCATCATCTAATACGTCTTATTAAAAAAACAAAACATACTACAAGATATAACATGAAAAGATCTACAATTTACAAAGAATAGTTTATGTTATATATATATATGCACTTTTTTGTTTTCAATATGAACGAAAATTCTGTATGACCAAATTTCTGTTCTTATTTCATCAATTAATGGATCATAGTTTTTAGCGTTATTTTATTGATCATGTTTCATACTTGTTTAGCAATTTGAACGAATGTCATGCCATTATCAATTATTTCCATAACCACTTTTCATAGGTCTTCAGGTTTCATTTTTTTTGTTATTAACTAACACACTTCTATGGATGTGATATGTGCCTCTAACAAATAACATCAGAGTGCGTGATAAAAATATAATCGAAACATTTTATTACGTGGATCTACAATCAGTCACGAATTATATCCTTTGATATAATTCATAATTGAAGAAAACGTAAAAGGAAGTCGTCGTGTACCACAAAAATAACTTTTTCATAGCATTAAAATTTGATCACACTAAATTTTATTTATTTTGAAAACTAAAGATTGATATATAAAATAAGCTTTATATTGTAGATTGTAGAACTTTTTACACTGCATCTTGTAGTATATTTTAGTTTTTAATACAACGTCTGAGATAATTAAAAGAATAAGATACAAAACACGATCATTTATTCTAGTACATCTGTTATATTTTTATTACTTATTGTCACGACAAACTGGAGGAAGTAGCTTACTACCATCCTCGGTAATGATGCTTATTTGGCTACTTCACATTTCCACAATGTAACTACTTCACATACAACACACACTTATATAGATGAGAGTGAGAGAGATGAGTACATAGAAGAACAATAGAGACAATATAACGAGGAAAGGAAGGTCAATGGGAGGTGATATCAATATCGGCACACTTATATATCTAATCTAAATTTTTAATTTTTCAAAGTTTCATCTTTCCAGCTAAAACCAGTGATAAAATGCATGAACAAGATTAACATACATGAATTTTCGTACTTGATTTTTGTGACATCTTTGTACTTGAAAAAAACTTTACAAGAGAAATTATTTCAAAAATGTAAATTATAATAAAACTCAACTTTCTACGTCAAGAAAAAGTATGAAAAATGTTGTTGACAATTTATCCTCAGCTATTATGGGAAATCTTTTATGGACTATTTATCATATGCTTGTACGGTTTGCGAAAAAAAGTTCCAAGATGTGTTGACTTGTTGATTTTGTTATTGTATGTTAAAGGACAATTGAAAAAAAAACTCTCGATTATCATTATAAAAGCTACCGAAATACTAAAATCATCGAGAACTACTAGAATCTCTAAAGTAATTTTATAGAAGATCATTAATATGTTATATAGAACTATTTGAATCTTCTCTTCATAAATAGATTGCATGTTAGAATTACGACTTCAAGGCAACTATATAAACATGATTTGATCCCAGTAGTACGGTTATTCCTTGTAGAATTTACCAAATTCCTAAGTTTTAAAGAAATGCTTGTCCTAATATTAAGCCAACTTTTCATGTGTAGTGACTTATGTCAGAGTTAGTAAATACTCACATTATGAGGTGTTGTATCAGCATTAGCATTAACTATAAAGCCTCATGCTTTAAGCAGTATTGACATTAGAATTAATTAATACTTAGGTGTTAGCATTAGTTTGGGATTATTTTTAATTTTAATACATATACTGCATGTAAATTCCGGGCTACTATCTTGCTTTCTAAAAAGAATGGTGTAATACTAAATCTTTTAGGGCTCTAGATTTCAGTACCATTTTCTGAACCTTTTAAATTCTCAGCAAAATATGATTTTATCTCGAACTTTCTTTTTCTTCTTCAAAAAAGGGTTCTATCCGGATAAAAAGTAGTTCATTCAACACAATTACTCTAGTACTGCTAATTAATTCTATGTCCGATCCATTATTGCTATCATTAACCCCTTATTTCTATTCTTAACTCCTTATTCTTATATCTAACTCCTATCTTTGCTAAAACCCTCAATGGTTCCTTATGACACCTTTTTTTTTAAGAGAGTAGAGTCAATTCTAACACTTATATGTTTTCCTATACAGTTGAAAAAGCATACATATTTTATATTAAAACACCAATAAAATGTTCAAGATAATCTGTTCGAAATTTTTCATGATCCAGATTAGTGAATACATTATTCCAGAAACATCAGTCCATTATTAAATATTACGCATCATATTTTAGTGATTCTCAAAAAAGTACTGCTCTAATGACAATATAGCAGCTGAAAAGTTACAAAGAATACCTTCAAGTACTCCTTGAAAAGTTACAAATAATACTTCCTATTAGTCCTTGAACAGTTACAAAGAGTGCCTCTTCAGGTAGCCCTTGAAAAGTTACAAATAGTACCTCTAGGTAGTCCTCGAAAAATTAAAGATAGTGTGCAAGGTAGTAGCCTGGAACTTATATACAGTATATGTATTAGAATGAAAAATAATGCTAATGCTAATTCTAATCCGACACTCCTAGCTCACATCAATAGTGTTTTTCAACGAGAAATCGATTGATATAAAATAGGTGTGGTTTTATTCACGATATGATATAGATACTATTCAAGTAATATCACAGGACATTTAGTCTAACTGCTATGACTTTTCGATTTTTCATTCCAGTTTCTCATCTGAATTACAATGCGAAGAAACTCTGTCTCAAAAAATAGGTCATTTATTTCTTTATCATTGAAAACCTTTTCCAATCGTTTCTATAAATCTTTTTGTCTTCATTCAGACTTTTTTTTATCTCGCATGACAGAAAAATCAACCAGTGTCTATTAACTAAAAGTTTAGTAAAAGTGTGATACTATAGCAGCAGACCATTGATATTCTCTGAGAGTTCGAAGCATCATCTATGAACTAGTAAAAAAGTTAAATTACAAGTAAGAATTGAAGACAGCAGACATTCACTTTTTAATTGATGAGTGTCAAGAAAATACATGATTTCGATTCTTACTGCACTCATAATTTAAGAAGCAGATACGATAGAACGTCACTTTTTACCTAGTAGTGAAGGTTAAATAGTCGATCAAAACAAAACAAAAAAAGATTTTTTAAATTGGTTATCATGAATCAGAGTTATTGCAGATGTATCTCATAAATTGAAACGAAACCAATTAGAAATGTGCGAGATTACAAGAAAAAAGTTGTCCCGACCGGAACTCAAGTTTATAGTAAACTGTGCTATGGTGTTAAGCAAATCATATCAATCAGAATATAAGTCAA